ATTTTGCAGGTGGTTGGCAAGGTGAAGTTGGAGAGGGTGGAGCAGCCTTGGAAGGGGGTTTGCTCAATACAGGTAAGGGGGGGGGGGCTTGTGAACGGCGCCTGACCAGAGGGCCCGCACCGCAGGCGCTGGACGAGGTGGAGCGCCGGCTGGTGCAGGCCGGAGGAGGGAGGAGACCTCGCTCACCTCTGGGGAGATGCGGGGAGATACGGGGGAGCTCTGGGGAGGTAGGCCAAGATGGAGGAGTTCTCGCTCACCAAGGACGCGGCCGCCGACCCGCGCGCTGCGGCGCGGCTGACGGCGCTGCGCGCGGAGATGGGGACGCTGGAGGGTCGCCAGCGCGCGCTCGCGGACCGGTGGCGGGAGGAGAGGGGGGCGCCGATCTCCCCGTATCTCCCCGTATCTCCCCGTCTCTCCGCATAGGTGGCGGGAGGAGAAGGGGGCGCTCGAGGGGCTCAACTCGCTCAAGGCCGCCATCGAGCAGAAGACGCTGGAGATCGAGCAGGCCGAGGCGGCGTACGAGCTCAACAAGGCGAGCGAGAGGAGCCGAGAGGAGCCGAGATGAGCCGAGAGGAGCCGAGGCTGCGTACGGGGTCAACAAGGCGCCGCTCATTACGCGTGTTTGTGTATGTGCACTTAGTGCAGTACCACCTTCGTACGGCAATTGGCACAGTAGGATAGAGTGGAGAGAGGGAGGGAGAGAGAGAGAGAGAGAGAGAGAGAGAGAGAGAGAGAGAGAGAGAGAGAGAGAGAGAGAGAGAGAGAGAGAGAGAGAGAGAGAGAGAGAGAGAGAGAGAGAGAGAGAGAGAGAGAGAGAGAGAGAGAGAGAGAGAGAGCGAGAGAGAGAGAGAGCGAGAGAGAGAGAGAGAGAGAGAGAGAGAGAGAGAGAGAGAGCGAGAGCGAGAGCGAGAGAGAGAGAGGCAGAATGGGGGGCGAGACGCGCTGCCGGCGCCTGCGCCAGAGCGCGAGGCGCGCAGCAGCGCAGACCGCACAGAGCCGAGACGAGACGGCCCCCAGACGGCTGGCCACACAAGCCCAACGGAGGGCCGGAGGCGTGGGATTTGGACGCCACCTCACGCGTCGACGTCGGCCGAAGGCGCCCACGAGAAGGTTCCGACGATGGCGAAGTCGTCGCCGCCGGCGAGCCTCCAGTGCCGTCGGACGGGAGGCAGCACTAGCCGCGCCGCCGCTCGCCACGTCGCCTGTGAGAGCTCGGGGTCTCGTTAGTTAATTAATCATTCATTAGGCGGTCGCATTAAAT